ATATGGATTTTGATGCGCTCTTTCGATTGACACCAAACTCACCATACATCATCAAAAATTGTGGCTATCACATAGTTCTGAACTCGGTTAAATCAGCTACAGAAGATGAGAAATGCACTCACTCCTCTGCAAAATCAAATAAAAATATAAAGCCGCAACTTTCCGAGTCGAGGTCGAACAGTACTGCGACTTTATGCGTTATTCGCGTGTTCCACAAAAACGGCGTTAGAAACAAACAAAGACTGATTTTTCTTGTTACATTTCGCTTTAGCAAAAACAACAAACGATGCCTGGTGTTCAACAATTTAAAACTTTGTACATTTAAATAGTCTTTGTTTTTAACTCTATTACTTTGCTGAATAAAATAAATACCAATACAGCTATTAAACACTAAAACAATCTCCAAAAGCAAATTATATTTTGACGTGGTCTCCATACAAAACTGTGTCGCACGGTGGTGTCAATAGCGGTAGTTGACACCACCTACTCTCTGATTTTGCTTAGGGGTATCAATAGCCGTAGTTGACACCACCTACTCTTTGATTTTGCTTGGGGGTGTCAATAGCTGTAGTTGACACCACCGGTAGTGGCAATAGCTTCTAGTTGACACCACCTACTCTTTGATTTTGCTTAGGGGTGTCAATAGCTGTAGTTGACACCACCGGTGGTGGCAATAGCTTCTAGTTGACACCACCGGTGGTGGCAATAGAGCTACCCTTATTTTATTTCTTTTTTTAGAAGTGTAAAAGGGCGTAGTGTTTAGATATAAGTTACATCTGATAAGATTTGAAAAAAAAGGAGAGATAAAATACCCTTTTGGCCTATCATCCATACCGATATTATAGTTCTTTTTCATCATTGTGTTCTATTAATCGTTTTTTTTCATGCTCGAAATATTAAAGCAGCAGCACTGATTGGTGTTGGTTCACCTACCTGTAGAAGTGTTATTATACCAAGGCGTGAATTTGTTGTTGAATAAACAAGTTCAATATAATCACCACTTTCAAGTTCAATTGCCAACTGATTGAGTAATATTGATACGTCATTCTCATTTACTAGTGACCGAACGACGTTTGAATTCGATACATCACTACCATTTAAACGAAACCACAAATGTAAATCACCAATGCCAGTTAGTGCACCAACTTGTACATTTACAATAATCATATATGTACCAGACTGTTGAAATGTAATACGTCCTCCCTTATTTGTAATCTGTTGTGAATTTATTCCACTTGTATTATCATCGTGTTGAACCACATTTGATTGTAAGTAGGTACTACTGGCGCCTGGTATTTGTGAGATTGTACTAATGAATTTTGCCCATACTTTATTCTTCACTTTCAATGTTGTAAATGAAACACTTGGCTCAGTTGGTTCTTGGTTGGGTTTCTCACTCATTAAACCAAGGTTGATATCTGTTGATGTAGTTATGAGTTGTAATTGATCATGTTTAATTCCAAAAGGGTTATTGTAAAAGATACACCTGCCTCACCGACAGCAATATTTTGAATGATATTTGAATCTGGTAAATCTTGTCCATTTAATCGAAGCCATAGACTAACATTACCATCACCTTGTCGACTGAGTTGTACTGATACTTGAAAATAATAGAGACCGGCTTCTTCATATTCAATGATACTATTATCATTGCTCGACGATGATGATGACCTTAGTCGAAGACCATAAAATTTGTGTTGCTTGTGTATATCATCCAAGGAAACAATGCTACCAGCTGGATTATCAGTGCCAATGAATTGTGTTTTAGTACTAAATAATTGTCCATATGGTTCTTTTTCACGACTAATACAGATAAGTGTCAATTCAGCACTTGGTATATCTGATTCATCTTTAGCTTGGGATGCTATTGCGCCAATCTGACCGTTTATATCAACTGTTGATTGTTTTAATTGAAATTTATCACCTTTATCAAAATGTTCTACTAAGTGTAAAATGAACAGTGCTGTATTTCCGAGTGTGTTTGTTTGTACTGCATTTGAATTTGCAATATCTCTACCATTGAGACGTGCCCATGAAGAGATTTCACCTGTACTACATACAAAACCAACTTGTATAGTCCATATTACCAAATAAACACATGTTTCTTCAATCAAAATTTCTGATTGATCTTTATCATTAATATAAATTAATTCTGAGCCATCATCATTTTGAAATGTTATTGTGGTATTGCTCAGTTGGGTGACATTGCTCGAGAATTGACCATAAACAACGACATCAAATTTCTTCTTATTGTGATGTTTCTTGTTATGATGATAGTTCTCTCCTCCTCCTGCTGATACAATAACGGCAGTAATACCAATGATTAGTAAGGCGGTAGTGGTGAATGATACCATGATTGTTATTGTTGTTGGTATTCTCTGAATCAATATCAGCAAGTTACTTATGAATTTTCAGTTAGGTTCTACCACGTATTTATAGTAATCAAGAAGCAGCATCGCGCAAGTTTTATATTAAATTTCTATAATTGTAAAGCACAGACGTTGCATTTTTCGTTTCTCTCACAAACTGTTAAATTAAATTTCAATAATCATCGCAAAAACGTGTTATAGTTAATTGCTTGTTGTTACAAAAAAGGTTTGAATAACTTTGTTAATGGATTTTTAATGCACGTGAGTTAGGACATTGGCAGAACTGAACGTATTTTCTAAGTACTTTTTATTTTCTCTGAGAGATAAAAATATTTTTAGATTTTTCTGTGAGAAATTATAAAACATTTCACATCAAAAACGTCAGTCGATATAACACATCTAATCGTTGACAATAGAGTAAAAGAGAATGATATTAACAATAAAAATAAAGTGAATGTATACAGCGAGTCATCGTTCCCTTATATGACAGTTGCTACTTCGCTCAATGCCAATGTGATGAGTTCGTCTAACTAAAGAACGAAACGCGTAACGGCAAGGTCAATTAGAGTTTAGATAAGGAGTTTAATCAAGACACTTGGTAGACTTGGATTTATCAAAGTTAAACACAAAGTATGCTCCTATTATATTTCACATCTCTACACTGAAGCAACAGCTGCTTTAGCAATTTCTGCAGCAAATCTTTAGCAATACGTTCTTATTAACCAGTTACAATCAGAAGTGGTTGATTTAAAAAATATGTTAAATAGGCAAGACGTACAGTTGAACATTCAAAAAAAACATTCAAAAAGCACAAATAGCTGACTTTCAACGTAGACATGCCAAAATTGGCGCAGAACAAACTAAATAGTTTGTTTAGTAAAAGGAAAGAGTATTTTGTTTCAGATCAAGATTTTCTGTTATTTTTATTATTATTATTCGAATTAAACGAGTGGCGGCTAGCACGATCATGGTGTCATTCATTAACTTTAAACATTGATTAAACTCATTTTTATCAGTAAAATTATAAAATGATCGAGAAACTGCATTGTAATCATTGACAGAAGTTGGATCGGATCCAAACAGAGAACCATGCGGAGTTCACTGACTTGGTCTATATGTACTTTAGAGAAAATAGCAGAATATTGTGCTTAAGACGAAACTTATACTGTTTTCTCCCTTCACTTACTTAAAATATCTGTTGTGCAATAAAAAACAACCTTTTTCTTTTATTATTCACTTCCAGCATCAGTGTGTAGTTATTCACTATTATCATCATTTACTATGTGATGCTGAAGAATGCGAAAGAAAAGTAATTACTCAATAGTTTGACAATATTCTTACTATTTTACGGTTTAAATGACTAATTATGTAAAACGACAACGCTAATATGTGATTAAACAAGATGATTCGTACCCGAGAATAAAGTTAATAATGTTGATGTATCCTCAATGAATCAATGACAAAACAGGGAAGTGATGTCATTGAAGAAAGCTAATATTAAAACAACCAAAAAGCCGAGACTTTCAATATACCAAAATGTAGGCAAACACTATTATATCCGCAAATTTTGCCAGTTTGAAGAGATACGTTCTTAAATTTTTTCCATAGACTGATAAGTATTCGTGGTGTTAATCAATCAAGTTTAAATGTTAATGAAAATTTGAGTTGTTAGTTCCCATTTTAGAAGCTTGTAGCTCAATCAGAATTGATCGTAGAAACGCCCTTCTGGCGCAGTTTAATAGCCAATGATATGTGGTTAAAGTTCGATAAAATATTTAATGAAAAAGTTTAGATATTAATTTATAATTAATTAATCCTGTTTTTCCTGTCAAAATGGGGAAAGTATGGATATTTTCTGAATAACACTTAATAGGACATGATAAAGACTTCTGATCTGCATTAACCGAAACCCAGCTGTCTGACACATCTTTTGACAAAAAGTAAGTTTAAAAGTCTTTCGTTGATAGAGGGTTTCAAAATGAGCTTTGGAAAATGTTTTTGGTATTGAGGTCGACTCCATCTTATTTTCTGTTTTGTGCCACCATAACGTACTATTGTGGTCATATTCTAAAGCTCCAAAGTCATATGGATTGATTTTGAGGTGTTTTTGACCTTTTTAGTACGCAGTAAAACTGGGCGAAATCTGCAGATTTCAAACAAAATTCTGGTAGGTTGTCTGTAAGTTCTTCAATCTTTTTCAGAAAACAAAGGTTGTCATGAAACTCAGCGTGCTCGATCACCGATATTTCAATTGTTTTTGAGGTTCACGAAAGTGATCTCAAAAAGTATGATCTTGGTGTAACAACTGTTATTCTCTAAAGTGAACTAGTCCGTCTATATTGATCGAGTTTTACCAGCTAAAAGACTATGATCTTAATTTTCATAAAAGTCCTCGTTGACTTGTGAATTATTTGATGTGACTAACGCCAAACAATACTCTCATTCGATGTGCCAGTCTTTAGGACCTATACAGCACTTTTCTTCAGTGTGACACGCATCGTATCCTGTCTTTTTCATATCTGAGAAAGAAGAAATAAAAATCAAAAAGGTTGCATTATTGTCTGCGATGCTTGTGGTAAAAGGTTGAGCGTGATCGAATAAGGTTTGTACTCAGATGCAACCTGGATTTTTTAGAAACTCATAGAAGACTATATCAGGAAATTCAGGGAAAAATTACATCCATTTTCTCTTTTGATGTTTTATCTTTGGTAAGGCTTTGAACTCTACCAGACTTTTGCCAACAAGAAGAAAAAGAGAAGAGTATCCTTAATGGAACTTACTGACAGAAAACCTTCAGACGAAAGTATTTGAACATTTGACTCTCGTGGCAATCTTTGGCAAGAGTGCTCTACAAGACCTAAAGAATACGTCGGTCGCAACAACTCTAGCGCGGAGTAGGTACTCTAAATTTAGGATCAATTTTTTGTTTTAGATAGTACGCATCGAAATGGCAGAAGAAGCTATTATGGTTCTTTGTGGTGAAATACCTTCTAAAACTTTCAGAGTTTACGGATCGCTAGTTATCCTCTCAAATCGTCATGAATGGGAAAATTTTATCTTACTTCATCCGCACAAGAAGCTCTTCGTTGTCTTATTTGATAGAAGTTGGTTGGAAATTCTTGAACTGTTAGAAAATAATTGCCAAGTTGAATGGATTTATTTGTGGACGTGTGACGTACAATTGGGTGCAAGTCTGAAACAGATACATCTGAAGTTAAGAGAAATATTTTATGGTTCTGCAGACGACATGTGTCTTCGTCTAGCAAGTGATATGGCTCAATACTATCGAGAAAACGCAAATAGACTCGAAAAAGTCGAGTTAGTGACTAAATGTGAGCAAAAAGCGGCGGATATTTCAAAATTTTGTACTCAAACATCTGAAGAATTTGAAGCACAATTCGAGCAATTATCACAGAGCAGTACTGATGATAATTAAATTAGGATTCCGAGCTCTCTCGTCCAGCTCCTGATGGACTTCGTCTACAAAGTTTTTCATCTATAGTTGTATATGTCATTAAACTTTCTAAATAAATGTTAACACTCAGCTTTTTCCTCTCCTGTTGATGAAAAACTTGATCTATTCCGAATGACGGAGAAAATTACAACATCACCTATAACGTTTTATGCTGTATCTCATGTGAAAGTTTTTCCAAGAACGGATGCGTTGTTCGCGAGTTATAAGCAAAACAAAGTGCAAATTGTCCGTCTACAAGATGTACCAAAACGGTATTTTTTGGAAAGAAGATCCGTTTTTGACCCAAAAGAAAAAATCAAAACCTAAATTTTTTTCGGCAGCTCTAAGTGCTTTTTTATAACTGATTTGGAACGACTTTGTTGAATGCCCCAATATCGATTATTAATCGGTGCATGCCTAACTGGGTTATACTTTGATACGAAACGGGATATAAGGCATGCATCTGTACAGTAAAACTAGGCCGAATTCAAGCGACCCAATATCCAGTAATATTGTGAAAACTCAATATATTGGGTGCACAAATTTTGTTGGCTCCAATATATTGGGTGACCAACATTATTGGGATCAATTCAGTCCAACTCAGTCTCAATTCTCATATTTATATTCAACAACATCGTTTAATAACATCGTGTACACAATGGGATACAAACCTGGTAAGTCAGAAAGCGGATGCAAGAGCGCTTTTACGAGCCGGTTTATCAGCTTTCAAGATAACCCAACAGCTAGGAATATCAAGAAAATTGCGTTTACAGTTTGGTAAAAAAAAGTAAAACAGAATCTTCTAGTCATAAATCGTCGAGGTCAAGGTCGCAAAACAATTACGATTATACACTCTATTATTTTTGTCCGCGTCTCATAAGTTGAATGAACATCGTGTCTTTTGAACACTCGTTGATCTGACTACGAAAAAAACCTTTCGTCTGAATTATACGTTAACTCCAAGGTAAGGTCGCTAATTCATCACATTTTCCATTTTCAAAAGTCACTTTAAATCAGACAGTACGCAGCTGCATAAAGCAAGAAATGAAGAAAAGAACAAATTTTATCGGTTTATCAAAAAGAAGATTCCCTTTACTATGAAATTAGTGTTTATTCTGGCAACTTCCCGGATTAAAAAATTAACAAATTTGATGATACCCTTCCTCAGCTTTTCTGGCAGTTTGTACGCCTTGTCCAAAGGTAACGCTCTGACGTTTTTGACACAGTAATTTGCATTTTTCTCGAAAACTAGACGGATTTATTCACCAGTGAATACATTAATCGGTAACTAGATTGGAAACAAAATTGACAACAGTATTATTCAATCCGCTTGAAGAAAAGAGTATGAAACTATCGTATAACAGAAAGAACATGTATATATATATTCTTTTCTGTACTATACTTGACTTAATTGATTTGTATATTCAACCGGTATTATTTGATATTACGAAATCAGCATCTATAGTTAAACGAAGAATATAGAAAAAAAGGACATTAAATATGAATTTACGACAGAAGAGAAACTTTTAGA